AATATACAAATAAATAACATGTCGAAATTTTAAAGAATAACTATAATTTTATTATCTAACCATCAATAAAATTATTTAATGATGTGATCATTATCTTTTAAATAATAAATAGTATTAATTTTTTTAAAAAAATATTAGTGTTATATAATTAAATAAAGGTTAAAAAATATTACTCGACAAAAATTAATTATAATGGATATCAGTAAAATCATTGCATAAACTATTTAAGGAAAAAATCTTCAAGATCATATTTGGATAGTAAATGTAAATATGCAAGCATTTAATGCATATAGTAAAAAATTTTCAAATAAAGTATGCATTAAATGTGTGTTGATATTTTCTTGCTACTGTTTTTGATAAATAGGTTGGCTTTCAATATATATATATATATATAGATTATTGACATTAAAAAATACATGTTATTAATTAATTTGCAAAGTTATTTCAATATAAAAACAAATAAATGAAATGTTTAAAATTATTTGACCTTCAATACTATGTATGCTATACTCAACTTCTTGTTTATTTCATTTTCCCTCAAAAAATACATTAAAAAAAACAAATATTATACATAAACGTATATACTATATAGGGATTGGATCGAATGTGTCCCTATTCTTTAAATGAGAATGTGAGACTCATCCATAACTATTAAATAAGAAACAAGATATTTGGTCAAGATTTAATATTTTTAATCTTTTAATTGGTTAAATATTGATTTGACTGTTGACCTTCGGCGTTCATCGTTGGCCGTAATTTGTGCCCCTTAAGTGTCTGCGTCCGCCCCTGCATGTACTTTACTGTCCATTTATTTACTTTCAGGACATCAGTGCCATCGGATCTCGACGGAGGACGGCGGAAGTCGGACGATTTTTCGGCGCGACATTAACGACATAAGACTTTTGGCAGCAGCAGACGAAATGTTGGGCTGTAGGACAATGGCGGTGGCGCCGCCAGAGGGGGCCGGCGGAAGCTACCCGACGACTCTGTGAGTGACAGTGTGTGTCGTGCATTATAGTATGTGTAATTGTGTGTGACGAAAGAGTGACGGGGAGCTAGTTTATGGAGGCGGGTCTGAAGTGGCGGTCCTCGGTGGTGGACGTCGGTGTCGGCTCTGCGACGGGATTTTAACTTGTCGGCGGTGCTGGAGCGGCGGATGACGGAGGAGTTGGATGCCCGCAGTGGGGACTCTTGGTCGGCGGAGCAGGGAGCAGAGCCGCCGTGGATTGTCCGGCGGAGATGAGAATAACATGTACGACGGCGGAAGTAGCGGTTGAGGTCGGCGACGGGAATGGCGTCGTGGCCGTGAGTCCCAATTTTTGTGTTTGTGTGTGTGAGAGAGTGGAAGGGAGAGATGAGAGACGTTATTGGAGAGAGAGAGAGATTACAGCTGGTCTATTTAATTGGGGAGAGAGAGATTACGGCTTGCGTGTTTAATGTGTAGGTGTGGGTGGGTCCCACTGATGTGGGTAGTTGAAAAAATACCACATTACCCTTAATGTGTTTAAAAATTTGATTTTTTTTAGCCGTTGGATGATCAAATTATATGACTATGATTTATTCTTATTTCTTTTACTTAGCACCATTCTCACTTGAACTCAACCATATATGTATATATATGTGAGTTATTTTATGTGTATGTATGAGTTATTTTAATTATTTTGAGATACGACAAATTTTAAAAATAAATAGAATGCATATATGGCATAATATTTATTTTAAATTGTTTAAATATTTTTAAATTAATTATATAAAAATAATAATAATTCCCCCTATATATAATTCCCGAATGCGCTGAGCCTACGTGGCTGCTTCTGGTGCTTCGGAATCCTACTTGGCGAAAAATCATGCTTCGTAATTAGATTTGGACAAATAATATTGATATATTAATATATTAATAATTAATAATCTAGGTTCGGGCATTCCATAAATATTATTTAGCTAACTTAGGTATTTTAATATCACTTGTACTAATATAACCCCTTTAATTCTTTGTAATTTTACATAGTGAGACACTAAGTGACTATAATATCCCTGACTTTTTGATTTGTTTCCTTCAATTAACTATTGAATTATAAATGTATTTTAAAAATTGATAACTTTTGTATTTATTATCGGTTTTACATATATAATATATCAAATTAACCATTTTTTCATGATCTTCGATTTGACATCCATATTGTATATATAAAATAAATAAATTATATTTATCTTTATAATATTTTAGATTTTAAAGAAAAAATTAACAAGCACCCGTGTAATACACGGGCGTTGTACTAGTAATGACATTATATGACAATAAATTTTAGAAGAAAAAAAAAATGAATTTTTGAGTAATATGATGAACAAAAATAAGTAAAATTATTATTATTTTTGTATTCAAAATTAAATATAGATGTTAAATTATTATTTATTCTAATATAAACAGTTATTGAGCCAACAGCCCAACATATTGTTGAAATAATTTATTTTTTATTTTTTAAAAAAACAAGCTTGCCGTGCATCATCGCACGGGATACTCACTAGTAATATTCTAAATCAGCCACGCAATTTCCGCTAATTTTCTACAAAAGTCATGCAATGCCCTGCAACTAGAATTGAATTTAAAAACAACTTCTATAAAATTCATCTGTCTATTGACTTTGTTTTCATCACCTGCAAAGTGCATATCGTTTCATAGTAATATTGTATTCGTTTGAATCTTGAAAATTGTAAACTATTGCACTGTTCCATGTTACTTTAAATGCCAAATGAGTTGGACTTAGAACTTCAAACCCACCGACTTTTTGATTTGCAGCATTTTGGAAGACAATCTAAAAATGGCTTCAGAGAAGGAGATCTTCAGCCTCAGTGGACCAACGTTTCTGACTGCTATTGATTGGTAACACCACATTTTATCTATGTCAACAAATATAATTCTAACTGTTTGTCTTGTAATTAGTATTTTTGTAGCCAAATTAAAGTTTTGAAACCATATATATGCATATATACTCAGGAACAATTCACACCATAGACGATCAATTGCGGCCAGCCTTGTCCAAGGCGCGTACACGCTCGAACGCGACCGGCGGCAAAACCGGCAAGGCCCGCACGCTCTGGCCCCGCCTTGGTGGCAGTTTTTCAATTTCCGACTAGTCAAAGTACTCATGGACGATCACGATGTCTCCAACTTTGGCGCGGTTTATGAGTTCAATTTCCAATATCCATACCATAACTACTACTTAGGCCAGAGGCCACCACAATACGTAATCGCCTTCCGGGGCACCGTCAACAAGGCCGGAAACAGAGAACAGGGTTTCAAGCTCAATTTTCACTGCATCTTCAACAATCTCCACAACAGCACACGTTTTCAAATCGGATTTAATTCGGTCAGCGAGATTGTCCAAAGGGTTGGTCCAGGTAACGTATGGGTGGCAGGACATTCCCTAGGATCATCGATAGCATTGGTAAGTATAGTTTTAGGTGTATTCAATTAAGACTTTCGAAATTATGGTGCTTTCAGTTGAAACTTTTTGAGACTTCTAAAAAGTCTGAATTTATTCAATTTGAACTTTTAAAGACTTCATTATAAATTTCTAAGAGTCTCAGTATATCCAATTCAAACTTTTTAAGAGTCTCAATAAGTCACCCGATATTCAAAGCAAAATCTCAATAGAAATCTCAAGATTTTGCTGTAAAAGTCTCTGAATGTCCACCAAAGTTATTAAAAAATTTTAAAACGTCCACCAAAGTCACTTACTTTGAAAAGTTTGAAAAAGTTCTTAAAAGTCCCAATTGAATATACGCGCGGTTGATTTTTTCGAGTTAAAAAAGTTTCGGTTTGGAAAATTACTCGTGCACGTGTGGTTGATGCAGGTTATAGGAAGGGAGATGGTGAAGGCCGGAATCCACCTCGAGACCTACCTTTTCAACCCTCCATTCGTGTCCCCTCCGATTGAACGGATAAAAAACGAGAAACTAAAGCTTGGCCTCCGGCTGGCAAGCAGCGTCCTAACAGCCGGCCTAGCAGCAGCTGTTAAGTTCCAAGAAAAAAACCCGTTTGCCTTGCTATCCACCTGGATACCCTATTTGTTTATAAATCCGGACGACCCTATTTGTTCCGAGTACTTGGGCTATTTCAAGCACAGGGAGGATATGGAATCTATTGGCGCCGGGAAAATTGGGAGGCTGGCCACGAAGCACTCGATTGGGAGCATATTTAGCGGGAATGATGGTGAGGCTGTGCATCTGCTGCCATGTGCTTACTTGAGTGTCAATTTGAGCACTTATGAGAGTTTTAAGGAGGTTCATGGGATTCATCAGTGGTGGAGGCCTGATTTGGAACTCAAGTATAATTTGTATCAATATAAGTATGAGAGTAAAACATGAAAGTTGTCTCTCTTTCATTCCTTTATCTTTTGTGTGGTTTTAAGGTTGAAGGTTTCATATACTGCGTTTATGTGATGTTTTATTCATTGTAAATTGTAATGTGTTAAACAGGGCATAACTAAATTAACTAAGTCTGCCCAGTTCGTAGCCTTAAGCTTAAAATATTTCTTGTTTTTTTTTTTCTTTTTTCAAAATTGTTTGTTATCGTTAAATATATTTTAGAATACCTTTTGTTATGAAGTTTTTTATTTTTATTTTTTTTCCCGAACGGTAGAGTAGATTGTTAAACACACATAAGTACATTTAAATAGAACTAAGAATAGTTGTGATATAGCACATAATAATAGCTAGGTAAACCGAAAAGAATCTGCTCGGTTTGGTGAGCAGAAATTAGTTAGGTACGGAGCTCGGTAGCACTAATAGCTCGGCCTTGTGTTAGTAGCTTGGCCTGGTGTTAGTAGCTCGGCTTCCACGACAGGAGGACTGCTAATAGTTCGGCTCTTAGCAACTCGGCTCACATAATGAAGGGTTCCTTAATAACTCGGCAGGTCAAGTGCTCGGTAATAGGGTAAGTGCCCAGCCGAAGGGTATATACACGGATTCTAGGATATTGGCTCGTCTTAACGGTAGCTCGACCTTAACAGAGTGGCCCAGGTACAGCTGGGCTAGATAATGATAAAAAAGAGAGTGAGTCGAGAGCCGAACCGATGTTACAGTTACCAAATTGGTCTCTAGGGGACACGTGTCAGGATTATAGAAGGGATAAGCAATCTAACGAAAGAGGAGCAAAGCGTACGCATGAAGCTAAAAAATTCCATATAAATAGGTAACTCTGGTAACCTTAACACTACTTACAATTACATACAATTTTCCTCTACCCTTTACTGACCTGAGCGTCGGAGGTTTACCGACGGGAGCACCTCCCGACATCTTTGCAGGTCTTGGGGAGCTCAAAACGATCGAGGATCAGAGGAGAACTGGAGTTGGGGTGCTGGAGTGCTATCAATTGGCGCCGTCTAGTGGTGTAATCTGTTATTCTACCGATTGCAGAGAAGGTTAAGATGGAGAAGACGATCAGAGATGAGCAACTGAGGAGGAACTTGGAGGTGATCCTGGAGGAGGCTTGGGAGGCGAAGACGCCTTACGGAGGTGGACCGCCGGCTGGACGGAGCGGAGAGGAGAGCTCGATGGCTGCCCCTCACATGGCGTTGCAAGTGGTAAACCAGATGTCGTCATCGGAGCCAGATTAGGGGATGGTGAACCAAAGGAGGGGCCAAGAGGTAATGGTGCAGATGCCTGGTCCAGGGAAGAGGTGAGCCGGAGATGCGGGTGACCAGAACGGAGTTGG